AAAGGTGTCCTGACTCTGCTGCTTTCGAATACCACTCGAATGCTTTTTGTTCATCTTTGATTGTTCCTTTTCCATTTGAATAATAAACAGCAAGATTATTTTGTGCTTTGGGACTGCTGCTTTCAAATACCACTCGAATGCTTTTTGTTCATCTTTAATTGTTCCTTCTCCATTTTCATAACAGATAGCAAGATTATATTGTGCTGAAAGGAGTCCTGATTCTGCTGCTTTCGAATACCACTCGAATGCTTTTTGTTCATCTTTGATTGTTCCTTTTCCATTTGCATAATAGATAGCAAGATTATATTGTGCTGAAAGATCTCCTGACTCTGCTGCTTTCAAATAACACTCGAATGCTTTTTGTTCATCTTTGATTGTTCCTTTTCCATTTGCATAACAGATAGCAAGATTATATTGTGCTTCGGGATCTCCTGACTCTGCTGCTTTCAAATGCCACTCGAATGCTTTTTGTTCGTCTTTGATTGTTCCTTCGCCATTTGCATAACAGATAGCAAGATCATATTGTGCTGAAAGATGTCCTGACTCTGCTGCTTTCAAATACCACTTGAATGCTTTTTGTTCATCTTTTTTTATCCAGTCCTCGTCCCTGTATAATTTCCCAATTAAATATTGCGCCACAGCATCTGCTGATTGTTGATAATATTGTAAAGCTTGATCATAATCTTTCTCAACACTAACACCATAGTGATACATAAAGCCTAGGATTGTTCTATATAATATATTGTTTTGTAAACTTTGTAAAAATCTTATTTTATCAGAGGGTATTTGAAATTTTTCAAAAATAATTGTTATAAGATTTTCCATATTTGCTTCGATGTTTTCATTATATTTGAAAATATTCTCAAAGAGAATCAATAAATCATCCATCGTAGTTTCATTTAATATTTCTATGTCAATTTGTTGCTGCTGGTTCATAATTTGAGTGGATGATTCTAAATTACTTTTTATTTGATCCGAATAAGTTGCTATGGATAAATTAGAGTTTTTTTCATTTGTATTTAAATCTGTGTTTGTCGCTAGAATAGATGTAGATACTAAAGTCCAGTCGATTTGATAATTTATGGTGTCATCAACATTTGTTCTAGATATTTTTTTTGAGCTATTCTCATTATTTATGCTTTCTGCCATCACTTGCTGTTGTGGATTTTCTTCGGATTCAGTTGGTTGCTTTCTCTTATTTTTAGCTAAACTATTATTCTCGAAAAGCTCGATTTCTTTTGCTTTGTTCGATTTTTTCGAATCATTGTTCTCACTTGTTGAAAACACATCTTTTTTTTCAATTTCTTTGAACAATGATTTTTTGTTAATATCAGACATTTTTATATACATGTAATATACATGTACATGTAATATTATATACATGTACATGTAATATCAGATACATGTACATGTATAACAGATATCACCGTTACGAAACTTCGTATGTACGTACATGTACTGACACGTATACTGATTTTCACATAAAAAACCTTTTTTAGTTAGACCGCTAGTGATAATACATGTACACTCACCTGCCAAAAGTCTGGAATCGGGCAATGATCGACATAATTAAGGGGTATTTCAAATGTCTAT